GGCCGTCAAGACCTTCCTCACGAAGCAAGGCCAGGAGAAGGCGGAGGAGGTGTGCGCGCAGCCGGGCAGGCCCCTCTGCCCCCCCGGCCTCCCGAAACAGCTTCCCGGTGTGCAGCCACCTGTAGCAAAACGCCTAACGGCAGGTCCTGCCTCCTCACTGTGTTTCGGTGCCTGCGGCCAAAGATGGACGCAGGCGGGACGGCGTTACTTCCCTGCAGCCAGTGCCCGTCCCGCCCCGGTGACAGGCAGCCGTGCGGAGCGCCTGCTGGGCCGGGTGAATGTGAGGCAGCAGTGCGCCCTTGGGGCGGGAAGGCTCTTCGCGGGCTGGGCTGCGAGGGGGAGGCCTCGCCCCTAGTGCCCTCCCTGCCCGGGACCTGCTCCTTCACACGGGAATACGGCGTCCACTTTTGCTCCCCCTCAGTACAAGGGAGAGAATAACATACCGGCACGAATTCGGGGGAGGGGCACCGAAATGTTCGGGGGCTTCAGCACGTGGTGTACAAGAAGAGGCTGAAGCGTTTGAGCAGCTTGAAAAAAGAGAAAGCTAAGGGGGAACCTGCTGGTTTTAGCTACGTGGAGAAGGTTTTAGAGAAAACAGAGCCAAAGTCTACTCAGAACACAATGAAGAAAAAGAAGCCCTACGCTGTGGCTTCCATTTCCTCTGTCGCAGATTATTTCACTTTAGTCCTATTCCTACTTTTCTAAATCCAAGTACCAAGCAAAACCCTTTTTCAGTTAGAAACTGAAAAAGGAAACTGAAATGAAATTATTTTAACATCCTCTTTGTTGAATGAGAAGATACAAAGCTCTGATCCCCAGGACATTGGTAAGGTCAAATGGTAGGAGACGATTTTCTTGCTCACGTCTCACCGTTTTCTTTCAGCCTATCCAGCATAGAAGATCTTACTCTGACCTTTTTCCAGCTGCCTGTTTTTGTATCTTTTTTGCTCCTTTTCTAAACTACTTCTCTAACACTGCACCACTATCCAAATCAGTAAGGAAAAAAACTCTCTGTCCACATAATTCTTCGGTAGAGTCACAGATCTGTTTGTATCTAATACCTGTGGGTTTTTATAGTTTAAGCTTACATTATTTCCTATGCTTAACACAAATCAAACAGTTTTACACATGGTTTAATTGACCTGAACGCTGCAAACAAAGGACCTTTCCCTTCTTTCTATGTCTTCTCATAATCAAATTTGAAGAGAAGAACACAGCAAGGATACTTCCCCCCCCCCATTACTGTTCCTTGATTTCTCTTTTCACAGATTGAGAAACTGAAGCAGGAGCTGATTGATTTGAAACGGCAAGCACAAGAAGAGAAGAAGCAGCTGGTGAATAAACTTTTCTCTTTGTCCTCAGAACGGGATCTTCTGAGCAGGCTGAAAAGGAGTTCTGATTTTAGTATGAGGAACAAGCTAGGGCAGTTAACTGTTACAGGTTTTGATGCAAAAATATTGCATGAAGAAAGAACTTGAAAAAACCAATGGTGATGTGGGAGTTATCCCATTACTCTGTAGTATTATTTCAGATAGTAGTAGGAATATTTTATAGCATCTGAAATAGTAGTAGGAACCAGCTGGGTAACGGTAAGGCCAGACGCATGGCAAAAACATGTTTCATTTTTACTGAGATAAACAATAACTACTTTGAATTCTTTTATAGTTCTCCTTCATTCATTACTGTTGAACAAGAATTCTTAAAAAGAACTGAGAAAATCGTTATTTGTTAATCTGGCTTCAGTAAGAAACACAAAACTGTGCTCATCTGCACTTTAAGACAGTTATCTCCCAAGGATATTGACTCCCCAAGGAACTTTCTCTTGCCCTCAGATTATAAAGAGCAGAAAAGGCTATAGATGATAGATGTGGTGGTGGTTGGACGCCAGGTGCCCACCAAAGCCGCTCTATCGCTCCCCTCCTCAGCTGGACAGGGGAGAGAAAATAATGAAAGGCTCGTGGGTCAAGATAAGGACAGGGAGATGACTCAGCAATTACCATCATGGGCAAAACAGACTCGACTTGGGGAAATTAATTTATTGCCAATTAGAAGTCAGAGCAGAGTAATGAGAAATAAAAAACAAATCTTAAAAACACCTTCCCCCCACCCCTGTCTTCTTCCCAGGCTCAACTTCACTCCTGAATTCTCTACCTCCTCCCCCTGAGTGGCGCAGGGGGATGGGGAATGGGGGTTGTGGTCAGTTCATCACACGTTGTCTCTGCTGCTCCCCCTTCTTCACTCTCTTCCCCCGCTCCAGCATGGTGTCCCTCCCACAGGAGGGACTTCTCTCTTCGTTCCCTTCACAAACTTCTCCAACATGCATCCTTCCCATGGGCTGCAGTTCTTCATGAACTGCTCCAGCGTGGGTCCCTTCCATGGGGTGCAGTCCTTCAGGAGCAGACTGCTCCAGCGTGGGTCCCCCACAGGGTCACTCCCACCCATGGGAGACAGGTCTTCAGGAACTTCTCCAAAACATGCATCTCCCATGGGCTGCAGTTCTTCATGAACTGCTCCAGCGTGGGGTCCTCCATGGGCTGCAGGTGGATATCTGCTCCACCATGGCCCTCCACGTGGGCTGCAGGGGGACAGCCTGCCTCACCATGGTCTTCACCAGGATGCCTGGGGCACCTCCTCCCCTTCCTTCTTCACTGACCTTGGTGTCTGCAGAGTTCTTGCTCTCACATATATCCCACTCCTCTGTCTGCTGCTGTTGTTCCACCACAGTTTTTTTCCCCTTCTTAACTATGTTATCACAGGGGCGCTACCACTGTCACTGATTGACTCAGCCTTGGCCAGCAGTGGGTCTATCTTGGAGCCAGCTGGCATTGGCTCTATCGGACACAGGGGAAGCTTCCAGCAGCTTCTCGCAGAAGCCACCCCTGTAGCCTCCCTGCTACCAAAACCTGGCCACGCAAACCACATACATTGATATTATGCATGTTGTTTTAAACTTACTATTCATTTCTAGACTTGTTATTTTCTTGTAGGGCAGCTTCTGCTGAGTTCGCAGCATTTCTTCTAATGAATTCCTTGTGTTTTCTAAAACACTGCAGCTCAGCATAATTTCAGACGTTCAGTTCTGTGTGCTCTGTGTTTTGTGTTACAATATTTGATGATTGGTTTCTCTCATTTTGCTTTCTTCTTATTGAGAATTTCTGATTTGTAGGCAGACTATTATGCCCAACAAATAAAAGAACTGGAAGAGAAGTTTCAGAAAAAAGTCAGAGAAATTGGCCAAATTCAATTAGAACTGAAATTAATAACGGAGTTCCACAGGGAGAAAGCAGCTATGGAGAAAGAGCTGGAAGATGTAAGTTTGTCACAAATATGTGTTTGCAATATTTATTTAAAAAGTAACTCTTCTGTCTGCATGGTCGCAGAGAGTTTGGGAGTGGAGGAGAACAGACATGGCTGATCTACTGGATTGTTTTCTTTACAGTTTACAGGGAGTGAGGAAAAGCACTAGGTTGAGAAAATGCAAGTTCTGTAGTCAGAAGTGACTTCTGTAATGGTCCAGTGCTGTAGGCTTGTTTTTGGTTTTTTACTCAGTAACACGGAAACATACAAACATACGTGGATGGACTAGAGCATCTAGTACACACTTTAAAGATACGTATGGAGGAGCTAGCAATTGACTGTAAGCAGTATAAGTCTGACTGATTTCTCACTAGTCAGCTCAGTTAGGATGTGAATGCTAGTATTGTATCATCTTTTCAACCACATAAGCCATTTAGAATATAAAACTAGGGACTGTCTTTCACTAGGCACTTGTACAGCGCATGACCTAGTCAGAGATACTTTGGAGATATAATACAAATATTAAATAGTAGTATTGCCTGTAAAACATTTCAGCCTGGGATAAAAAAGTATCCCAGCTGACTGATGACATGAAAAAAGTGCCTCAAGCACTTCAAGTGCCTTGCTGACTCAGCTGTACTGGAATTTTTTTCAAGCACAAGAAGGGGCTTAGAAACACCACCAAATGCTTTCTGTGGAGACAAATGATTGGTCAACAGCATTTGGATTATTAATATATAGCTGCTTTTAAGCTATCAAATGCGAGTTAGTCAGGCATTTTTCAAAGAACACTTGAGGCGTTGGACTTTGAATGATCTTGATGACTGAATGAATAGACCAAGTAAAGCAGATTTCTAAAACTGAGCATTAAACAGAGTGACAGAGTGTGTGTGAATGACTGTCAGTGATGTGAAAATACGGGCACAGGTGAACTATGAAGGGGAAGCAAAGCAATAATACAAGTCAGAAGGTTAAGTGACTTTTATAGATAGCGTAAAAATTTGATGAAGACTGTGGGCAGTGCCAGGAAAGACTACCAAATTCCTCCTTGAAGAGTACATCTGCACTTTTAGTTATATGGCTGAAATAGAACGCCATTATTAAAGAAATTTTGTTTTTTATCATAGTTAAAAGAGAGTATGGAGATTTCAAATGGGAGACATCAGGAAGTGGTTGTGAGATTGGAGAGGAGGTTTCTTGAAGAAAAGGTAAAGACTGACAGGCAGTTAAAGAAACCTTTATTAGAACAAAATGACTTCTCCCACTGGCTACTCTGGTTTATATAGTTTTCACAGTTCTTTACTGAGCATTTTACAATTTCCCATGTCAATACAAGTATGATGAATGAGTTGGAGGCTGGGTGCAGCTTTCCAAGGAAAAACATGGGATATCAGGATCCCAGAAAGGCTGTACTCTCCACTTCCATCAGGTACTTCGCTGCCCTCGGGGGTTCATTCTTTCTCTAGCAAGGAGCTGGGTGAGCTGAAAATTGTGGGTGTGATTTTAGAATTTACACTGTTTGAGATTTTAGCTTCGGTAGCACAGGTCTCATGCAAAATTTAAACAGGCTTTTCTCCCTTTCAGAAAAGACTGGAAGATGATGTTGAGAAAAAGCAAATAATGATGGCAGAGACTGCCCAGCGTGAGGCTGTTTTGTAAGAAACACTTGCTTTTCCTGTTTTCTACTTTACAAAACCATTTTAGCACTGTGTTCTAAATAAGTTGTCCATGTTACTACACGGGCTTTGAAGGGCAAAATCAGTGATGACCTAGGCTGTTTTTATATTTCAAATGTCAAGATGATGTCAGCTCTTACATTTAAACTGTAAGACTCATGCTGGTTCCAGGGGAGAACTGGAGGTAATATTATCACAATGGTACCACTGTTTTCTTCATTCTCCCAGTCCAGATGCAGGACTAGAAGCAAAGCTATGAAAACTTGGTACAGACCTGTAAGAGTTTTACAGCTTAGCTCTGAAATTAGGACACTGAGATATTGATTTTAATATTAAAAAAGCAAGAAAGGTTGTGATTAAAGCTCTTGGATTTTGTTTCCCTCTGTCCAGGCAGCTGAACAGCACTGGGAGAGAGGTGTTTAAGAATGTTCGTCTTCACGGTGCATTTGCTTACCAGCTGAAAGAGACAATGGAATTGCAGAATATCAAACAGAAGTTAGAAGAGGACAAAACTCTTCTGTTACAGGAGAAGGTTTCTGCTCTGGTTTTAATTCTGCTTCATTCTCCTCCAGGAAGGGGTACATCTGGATACAGATGTAAATTTCCTGAGACTAACCTCTCCCCAGCCGGACACCTCTGCAGTTACTGAATTCGGAGTTGTCTGAAGAAGAGCTCTTCTTCAATCTTAATTATGGAGGAGAAAGAAGGAAGGGTTTCCTATGCTAGCCCATTAAGAATAGGTCTCTCTGTAATGTATACTACATACCAAGCCTCCTTTATCTGGCTTCTCTTGCAAATAAGAACGTGATCCCAGAGAAGTATTCAGTCTCCAATGTGAAGGTGCTAGCATGTTTATTTGGTGCAAAGGAAATAAAAGCCCAAATAATTTCTTCTCATCTTTTAGGAAACCAATGAGGGTTTGATTCGAAAAAAGGTCCTACAGATCAATCATCAGAAAGCACAGATTGGAGATCTGCAGCGTAAAGTGGAAAAGCTGGAGATGGCCTTATGTCGCATGACCAGAGAATCTGTGAGAGAGTCCCAGAAAACACAGCATCAGGCGCTGACAGAAAACCAGGCAAGCATGGTGGAGATCAAGAAACTGCAGCAACTACTAGAAATGAAGGATCAGGAGATGAACCGAGTGAAGAAACTAGCCCGGAATATCTTAAATGAGAGGACTGAGGTGGAAAGGTTCTTCCTAGATGCTCTGGAACATGTGAAGCAGGAGATCATATCCAGCAGAAAGCACTATAAGAAAAAGGCTCAAACTGCCTATTACAGAAAAATGATGGAGGCTTGTGCAGGGAAGGAAGAATTTCCCAAAATCAAAACATTCAAAAGCAACATAAATAGCACAAATGGTGTGTACAGAGACCTAGAGGAAGCAGAGAAATGCTACTGGTATTGAAACATCAAAAGCTAGTGTCTATCTTCCTAGCACACCTGAAAAAACCCATAATTGATGTAATAATATTGCCTAGACTTGGAATTCTTGTGGAGGCTTCTGTAGTGAGAATAACTGTATGAGGTGTAATATCGTATCGGTTAGTAATGACTTTGTGGGCACCTAATTTCAACTAGGCTATCACTTTTTGGTCATTATTTCTACGGATTAAATTAAAGATAAGCTCGAAAGAGTTCTTTGCATATTCTGCCATGTGCTGTGGAATTTGATATAGAACTTCCAGTATAGATGTGCTTCTGCAGTTTCCTTTTAATAATTATTGTTGCTTCTCTAATCTTTTTGATTTTGTAGGCATTGCTGTTCTGGCATTGCTCTTTTGTTCTTTACTCACTCCAGTAAGCCAACAACACTGAAGCCTAAAAATTACAATTAAGATGCTAACAGCTCTTTACTATGTTGCCAATCATTTTAACAGAAACATCCAGTAGATGGCAAATCCAGTCTTTTTTCAACTGTTCTTCTGTATGTCAGAAGCCCCGGCTTTGCATTGTGCTTTCAAAGGTTGTTTTCCTCAAGCTTCGTAATAATCTAAAAATTACGCCATTACATTAAATAAACACTGACATATCAAAACCAAGATCACATGCAGTACAGTACTGATTGACAGGAATACATTTTATAGCGAATAAAACAAAATCTCAGATTTATAACTGTGAGTATCTCAGAATTTGTATTAGGATGCAGCTTAGTTCAAATTAGGGCTATACATGCCGCAGTGGCCAGGATTACAGGTCTCCAACCTCCTGCTAGAAATCTGTGCCTATAAACTGCAGCAGTGTCCAGGCACTTGGATTTTAAGCCATAGAGTTAAGGTCCCTCAAAGCTGAAGTTTGCATACATCCTTGGTGAGAGATCAAAATTCTCCTACTCCCAAATAAAATGTTTGCTTAGTATGCATTGGCTATTGAATAACTTGGCGACACACAATTGGTCGGAATGCTTTGTTCAGTTCAGGTTATCTTATCTCAAAAATGATACAGCAGAAACACTTGATGAAAAATCAGAGGTGAAAGTAGTTACTGAGATCTAAGGAAGCTTCTCGGAGCAACAGAAGGGGGAGACTGGAACTGAGAATGAAAATTGGTTATATGTATTGACCCTTTTACGTATGAACAGGAGAAGCAAGGGAAGGACAATGCACTTGAAACTCATACACTAATAACCCTCCCCCTCCCAGTGTTTATAACCACTACACATGTACCAGAAATCATTGGTTTTGTTCTACTTAGAGAGCCATAGATTTAGAAGTCGAAAAGACAGCACTGTGTGTTCAGATTTATTTTTTGAATTTGCATGCTATGAATAGCTGAACAAGAACAATGCAGAGCTAGAATTTAAAACCTGTTTTACACATACAGAATCCATGTGAGAGATGCCTTTGAAATTTCCTTCTAATACATTGATCTTTTCTGTGTTCTTCAGGAAAAAAATCCAGTTTGAAAAAGTGGATATCAGTGAGTTGACATAGGAACAAAAAGAACGTGTTCTGCGATTGCTTTTTGCCAAAATGAATGGCACAAATCCATGGTAATATTCTGTTTATTCAGTAGGTGAATGCTGAACTTCTCCTGTTACAGGAGCTAGGCTGATAACTCCAGGTCAGGGGGTTCCAAGAAACTCTGAATCTAACATAAGAATCTAGCTAACTGTGCGGCTTGGTGTGAGATACTTTAACCTTTTGAAAAAGGTGATTTGACCTTTTGAAAAAGTTGATACCTTATATACTAGTTTTGGACATGCACCAGACTATACTTTAGATCTTTGTGTGTAGTATCAAAAGAAAAGCAAGTGGAAGTAAATTTTGGTGGTGCTGAGGAAGAGAGGAGAAGTGAGGAGAATTAACTTTGCTCAGTGCAGTGGGATTAATTTTGTTCAGTCATTAATGAATCCCTATCCATCCTCACCAAACAAGGAAATAATGTATATTGTGACAGTAGCACTCCCCACATATATTTCCTTTTAATAAGAGTACCATAAAGCAATCTGCCCAGTATTAAAAAGTACAAATATCCACAACCAGATTATTAAAAGTGTACTTACTCTATGGCTTATTGCTGTCTGCATAAGAAACTTGGGAGCATGACTTTAGATACCTAAAATATGGCTTTCACTGGAAATTCAAAGTTCAAACAGCATTAAATATATTATAATCTGTGAACTGGGGCATAAGAGAGCCCAAAGAGAAATCTAAAATGCTATGATTTTAATGTAGTTTGGGGAGACCTAATGCTTAGGGTGGAACGTCAGCTTCTCTGTGTTAAAAGAGTTTAATTTTTTAAAAACTAAATTTAAATTTTTTTAGCAAAAGTTACATTAATGGAATTTTAGCAAATTTTGTTAGGGTTATTACAGTGGAAGTAAGAAATGTATAATTAAATGATTAATCTGTCAGCTTTTATGGTTCCAATTTATGCATGGATTTAACTCCTTTTATCAGTATTTGCCAACATACAAGAGCACACATAAAGCTGTAGAGTACGAAAGCTCAAGCAATGGAATACAGACACTTCATTTTAAGTTGACTTATGATTAAACCCAGTTTTTTTAAAAAAACTTTTTGTTTGTTTGTTTCTCCTCATTCCCTTTTAATTGTAATGATTTTGCCACAAAATACAGAATTCCACAGTGAAGTGAACTCACGTTTGATTCATAGTGCGGATTTTGGAGAGTGTACTGCAATAGCTCAGGTGCCCTGGCATTCCTTGTTTGCTGTTCGGTTTAGAAAACAAGCATGGTGTGGGATTAGAAACCTGGCTGAGCATAAATCACCGTTAGATGAGGATTACTTTGCCCTGTGCCACCAGAGTTTTGGCTACTTCAGCTCCAGCTCCTGACGATACTAAAGAAGAAAGGAAAATTTGCTAAGATACTGAATTATACCACACTACCTAAAATCTCCTCAGTCCTGGTTATATATAAACAGATGCAATTGTCTCTCTGTCATCCCTCCCACTTTACAATACTTTGGTTTCTCTGAAGATCTGTATTAGTGTGTCTATACACAAATAAATGTATGTGTGACAAGAGAGAGGCATTTTTTCTTTATTTTGAAATTTCTGGTCATGTTGATCTTTTAGCAGCAGGCATTTAGACTCGGCTCTCATGAAAAAAATTGATCTCATGCCCCTGTAAAGCCTCCTCTTATTGAAAAGCAGCTTTATTATTTTTGGAGGATTCTCTTGTGAAAGGCCATGATCGCACAAGGAGATGCATTTTCAGCTAGCACAGCAAGTTTTGATTAAAAGGCAAAATCTATTAAGCTGATGCTGCGTTCAGTATAGAATCACTTAGAGAAAATGGACCAGGACGAAGATTCATATGCCTGATTTTCAGATACAGACTCAGATACAACTATTTCGCTAATTATAACACTCCAAGGCAAGCAATATCAACTTACCCTGGAGGAATAAGTAGGGAGGGGTTCTGGCATGCCATCATGTCAACATGAGGCGGTCAAGCACACAAAACAAAATGTCATACTCGGACGTCAAATGACCAGATAAAGTTCATAAGCAGGAGCCCTGGAGGGATTTATATGGAAAGATGAGAGACGCCTCCTTTGGAGAGGCAGACCGCCACTTCCAGAAACAGGAGTGGAAGTGGGTTGTAGCCTTCTTTTGCACAGGCAGGGAAAAAAAAGCAGAAGTGGAAGCCAAAGGGCCCAATTCTCAAAGGTGGTTAAACTATTTTAACACCATTTTTGGACTTAAAAGTATCAAATAGCTTTGAGAATCTAGACTGCAGTGCCTTCTAGGCAAGAAACAATTTTTAATAGGCGACAAAGGGTTGACTATAAAATTGTATTTTAATAGAGTCTAAAGAAATTTATTATGAGATACTTTATACTTAGATTATACTTTTGTATAATATAGAAGATATATTCGTTAGCTTAATTTTTTACAGTGAATGTTGAAATAAAAAGGAGAATAAACAGGTGGGTGGAAGGCAGTAACAGCAGTGAGCTGAGGCAGCAATGAGCTGATCAGCCAGCATCTGCAGCTTGATCTAAAAAGGCGTTTCATTAACTAAAAACGGCAGATACAAGATTTGTATTTCTAGTGCAATCATTTAAAACCATCTGTTTAAAAAAATGCTGTTGGAAATGCAGATAATCAGAAAAGATGTTTGCACGCAAATGAAAAGATTATACAAGTGTCTAGAACAGGTCTGGAGACAGTGCAAGGGTACTCCTGCAATTCTTCAGGGAGCAGGTAAGCTTGATAATAAAGACCGCTTTTGTTACAGGAGAAGCTGGATTTTAGAATTTCTAAAGGAAGGATATAATGGGTTTTAGTAGGACAACAGAAAAGTCAGAATAGCAATACTGATTAGGAAGAAAATTAAGGCATTTTGAAAGTGAATGGCTGTAGACAATATTAGAGGCTGTTAATTAGTATTCCTTTCCCAGGTGCATGAATGAATGCCAATGTCTTAATGGTGATTTACCTAGAATGTTTTACCTTTGCAGCACAGAAAATACTTCTCCCAATCTAATATTCATTACACAGCAGGCCGAATTATCAGATTCATCATCTTCTGCAGTAATCCTTCCGCATATTCAGATGTTAACACTGCAGACAGAGTAAGGCAGCTGTACACGTTGCATGAACAACAGCCACAGCAATTATCGACTCATCTGCACTTTTTATTTTGGAAGTTATCTTGTGAGCAAAGCTGCATATTCTAAATCCCCTGCCTGCTGCACTACTGCTTTGACTACGCATTTGAAATCTATCTGCAATGTAGTTATCTTCCTCCTCCTTAAAGATTTTATTCTTTCCCAAGCCAGGAGCTCGGATGACCCTGTACAAAGCACTAGGATTTGGACTAGTGGTTAGAAGTCTCTATATATGTGTTGCTATAATTTGATGAAGATATATTTTCAGTTTGTAATAAAGTAATTTACGCGAAGCTTAAGAGTTTTTGTGATCGAATGATGTGTACGTGGAAACAGAAACAAGGCATTCCCTGAAATGCTGTATGAGGAAATTGGTACAGAGGTCCTTGAAATACTGTAAAAGGCAGACGTATACATGGATTACAGGAGTCACAGATCAGCCTCTGCAAAGAGGGGAATAGTCAACATCACACCTATATAATGTCTTACCAAGGAACAGTCGTATTCTGCAGAAATGTATTAGCACGTTTTTAATTTGTAATCAAATTGCGAGGTGAGAATTTCCCTCTCGGGTATAGCAGAGGAAAAAAACCAAGATATAAACATTAGTGAATGCGCAGCAATTGCACTAATACATAACTGTCAGTTACAAGGCATCTTCACCAGAAGGCAGGATACAAAGTGTTCACATTCAGGTTGTTTAATTAGAACAAGTAATGGTTACAATCATTAGAATAATATTATTTTCCATGGGTGCTTGAATGAGTTCCCTGCAGATCCCTCATGGCTGCATCATCTTCCAGGAACCAGGAATAAAAATACAGGCTCTCCAGCTCCAAATGCACAGATTCTTAAAAACAGGGTATAGCAAGTCTTACCCTTCTCTAGTAATGGGACCTGCAGTCCCTAGAGAATATGACTGTGTTTGAGCGAATGTGACAAGGAGTCAATCAATCAACACAAGAAATACAGCTATAGTCAGGAAAAGAAACCAACAGAACAGGCCTGGCTGCTTTGTGATTAAAAAAACGTGTTCTTTCCTCCTACTGACCCATCTACTTACTCTTCCTTCCACCCAGACCCACATGATGCTGTGATGGGAAGATACGTGTACATGCTTGTGTTTCTGCTTCCACAGTTTCATTATGTTACAGGACCTCTAGGCACATATCTGTTAGCGCAGCAAAAAGGCACCAAACAACTTTCAGGTATAACGGAATTGACAGCGAGCTGGAGAATACAAGCCACATGCACAACAGGAACAGAAGTTTTCAAGCTGTCAGAGGCACGGTGAATGTCACTGTACCATACAGGAATTTCTTTCACCCTCAGACAAGCAATCAAACATGCTTTCCTGAAAAATGCTTAGAAAGCTATTTCCCAAGTGTTTTGGAAACTGCTCAACAGATGAAAGACTGACATTTTCAAATCCCAAACTTGCTGCCTTCATTGTCTGTAGTCACTTCTATGAGACACCCGAGGTGTCCCAGTTATGTCACTCAAAATGAGTACTCATCTTTGAGTAAGGTGAACTCAAAATCTTAAGATGTAAGATAAAGAGGTAAAGAAAACTGCTACAAGATGTAGCCAGGAGTGAGTCACTAAGGCTAAAGATATTGAAGTGGAAACCAGAGTAATGTTCAAGTTCAGAGGGTCTGGAAAGAAAGAAAAATTAAGAACAATCTCACTGTGTGCCCTTTCAGTTAGATAAGGTTGTTTCCTCTGTGATAGGTTGTAGGAAAAAAACTGAGTTCAGCTAGCCAAAAAACACTGACAGCAACAGAAAACCCAGATTGTGCGTTACATGAGCCTGCCTGATCTGCACAGAAAGAGAGGTCCTTGAGAAAATGGAGCTCTCTATTCATTCCCAAGGAAATGATGATAGTCGGGACAAAGCTGGGAAGTGCAGCATAGAAGGAGAAGGGCACCAGGAACAGCATCTG